GGGGGGTACTGGGGGGGTACGGCGGCGAGCACTAGCCTGGGCTAGAGCCTTACCCACCCGGGTCTATCCGGAATACGTGCTTGCCTGCCGGAGGGGCGGACAGAGGCGGAGCGGGGCCGTGTGCCCCGAAGTAAGCATGGGAGACCCAGTCCCCAGGGACTAACCCTAGGGAAAGTAAGACTTTTGCCCTCCTTCTCCCACTTCTCCCCCAAACAGAATGTTACCCGTTTCAGACCCAAGTACAACTCTCCTAGACAATCACTGGCCCTCTTTGAGAGAAAGGGCAACCACCAGGGACAGTTTCAACATTGACCCCATCCTTTCTGATTCCTGGCTAGGTCAGCTGTCATGGTAACCCTTCCCCAGCCTGGAGCCCCCGAGTCTCCCCTCCCTTCACCCTTGTGGTTGTGGAGCCCCAAACCTCTCTGGACTCCACATCAAGAGAAGGTTGCTAAGGTAACCTCAGTTTCTAGTGCTCCTTCTGCTTTTGCCCTCAGCAGTACTGTGACAACCCTTCCCACTTGGCACTCAGGTAGAAAGGACCCCAGTCCCAAGGACACTGATCTCCAAGAGAAACACACCTCTTCCCCAACCCCTCCCCCCATAGCCACCCTGCTGGCATTACCATGGTAACCATCATCTATGGACCAAATCAACCAGGTGTTTTAATTCAGAGGAGGAGCTGCTCTGCTGAGGCACAGTTGCTATGGTTACTGGGCCTGGACCATCCTCAGGAAAGTGAAAAACAGGCAAGGCTCAGCTTTAGTTACTATGGTAACAGGGCAACCACATACCCCTTTTTCCAGTGACCCTAGGAGCCAGGCTGGTCAAAGTGTGGGATGTTTGAAGCTTGTCTGTCAGGGTGGAGTGTATCTAGGGAGGGGTTGTCATGGTAACAGGTTCTGTCACTTCTAGCCCTACCTTTTCTGAATACATTCATGAGAAAGGGATGGTTATAGATTGCTAGGATAACTGACTCCCTCCCACCCAAACCTCCCCAAGTGGGGCTCAAGCTTATGGAACTTCAAAAGAAAAGATTCCCTGACCTTCTAGTAACTACTTTTGTGGGTAAGATGAAATTGTGTTCTCTTATGCTGTATTGGCTGATTTGGGGTCTTCTGACTCTCCTTTCCTCAGCAGTGCAGCTGATATGGGCTGAAACTACCCTTCTGGATCTCCCCCAGCCTACAACCCAGGAGGTAAGAAGTCCCTCGATGTCACTAGCACTCATTTGGAAACTGCCCTTTCTTCATTCCCAAAGGATTTCTCACATTTCATTTTTTCTACCCATCATATTCCCATTCTCCAGATGCAGGGCCTGAGGCTCAGGCCTGAAGAGAATCTGGATTCACTTACAATGTTTTGTGGGGAACAGAGAGACTAATAAGGGTTCAGCTTAACTGTTCTCTCCTTCCCTGACCACCTCTTCTAAGGCAAGTCCCTGTTTTGCTCTCATGTCCCCTGCTGGTTTCTTGCCCTACCTGTAAGTTGCTCCTTTATGTCCTTTTGTTTGTTGTTTGTTTTTTGTTTTTTGTTTTCTGGTGGGCCAACACAATGACTACCTTGTTCATCCTGTGTCCTTAGAACACAGGGTCTGTCACAGAGAACACTTGATAAATATGTTTGTGGAGTTAATGAGTTGAATTAATAGATTTATTTATTATATTTAGCTTTGAAAGCACCTGTCAGGTTAGGGTTGGGGAAGGCTCACCAAAGATTGTCTTGAGAGTTGGGCCTTCCTACTGGACCCGAGGGAGACAGCAGAGTTTATTGATTTAAAGCACAACTGTAGAGCCAGCTTCTTGGATCAAATCCTGGGTCCTCCATCTCTCAGTTATGTGACCTTGAGCGATTTACTTCACTTCTCTGTGCCTCAGTTTCCTCATCTTTATTTATTTATTTTTTTAGAGATAAAGTCTCACTTTCTCGCCCTCGGTAGAGTGCTATGGTGTCACAGCTCACAGCAACCTCCAGCTCTTGGGCTTAAGTGATTCTCTTGTCTCAGCCTCCCAAGCAGCTGGAACTACGGGAGCTAGCCACAGCACCTGGCTATTTTTTGCTGCAGTTTGGCTGGGGCTGGGTTCAAAACCGCCACCCTTGGTATATGGGGCTGGTGCCCTACTCACTGAGCCACAGGCGCTGCCCAGTTTCCTCATCTTTAATTGTGATCATAACATAAGGGTTGAATAAGTGAAAATACCCAAATTGTTTAGAATAGGAGCTGGCACAAGGTGAGCTGATAGAATTGTTGGTATTATTATCCTCCCAATTCAGAAAAGTATAGAACAAAATCATTTCATCCACCTTGCCCCAGCCTAGGGTTTTGTAGCCCCTAGGGTTCACTTTGAGGCCCTAACCAACCTTGTCAGCATACTAAATGATTCCTTTCTCCTTCTCAGTCGCCCTCACATCCTCATCAGCAGGTGGCATCTCCTCATCTGGTCATCAAACCCACTTGTGCTCAAGATGACCAGGGTAGGGCCCCAAGTACATTGTGCAGGGCAGACACATCCATCCCCTTCTGATGAACCAAAATGGGTAGGGCTGGGGAGCCTAGAGGGAGTACCTTCCCCTGCTGGGGGTGCAGGAAGGGCTTCCTGGAGAAAGGGGCATCTGAGCTGAGACTTCAAGCATAAGTAGGCATTCTTCAGGAGAAGCAGTATGGGGAGAAGCAGCCTTTGATAGGTGACTCTTCTAGACAGAAGGAACAGAATGCAAGCACTTAGAAATAAGACCTGTTTGAGAAGAAGTTCAGGGTAACTTAGGCATAATGTTAGAGGAAGGCATGGCAAGAGATGGGCTGGAGTGGTGGGACGTTATAAAAAATTTAAACTTTTCTTCAGGCACTGGGGAGGCATGGCAAATTCTGAGCAAGGAAAGGAAAAGTCATATTTGTGCTTTAGGAAGACTCTTCTGGCTACCATGAAGAGGGGGACTTGGGCTGGAGATGAGAGGGAAGTTGGGTGGGATCCTGGATAGACCTAGGTTGACGGAAGAGCTGTGGAAATGGGGAGGTAGGGTCAGAAGTATTTAGGACATAGGAAGATTAGTGGAATGTCCTTTCTCTGAAAAGGGCAGAAACCTATAAAAGTCTTCTATGGGGAAACTTTTTTGAGTACCTGCCCAGAACCACCTGTGCTGGAGAACAGCCAAATCTTCAAAGTCTGTGATGGAGACACAGAGACAGCACTATCTGGGGCTTACTTGGGAGTTTGGACAATGAATGAAGAAGGAGCAGTATGTCCTAAGCTTGGCAGTATCTAGATGTGACCCATCGCACTTTTTTATAAAAATAGTTTTGATTGTAACAAAATACATGTATAATATGTACCATCTTAACTATTTTTAAGTACACAGTTCAGTAGAGTTAGGTATATTCATGATATTATGCAAACAAATCTCCAAACTTATTCATCTTGCAAAACTGAAGTTCTGTACCCATCACACAACTCCTCACTCTCCCTCCCTACAACCCCTGGCACCTACTATCCTACTTCCTGTTTCTATGAGTTTGACCTACTCCATTAAAAAAATAGAAATTAATTAATGGCCAACATTTAAAAATTGGCCAGCCTGGACAATAGTGAGACTCCATCTCTATAAAAAAATGGTAAAGTTAGCCAGTGTTTAAACAAAATAATAAAGTTAGCCAGGCATTGTGATGCACCCCTATAGTCCCAGCTACTCAGGAGGCACTGAGGCAGGAGAATCGTTTGAGCCTGGGAGTTGAAGGCTATAGCAAACTATGATCACACCACTGCACACTAGCCTAAGTGACAGAGTTAGGCCCTGTCTCCAAAAAAGGGAGGGCGGATAATTCTGATTTAAAAACAATCAAAATATTTCTGGCCTTTCTTACAAACCAAAATGATCTAGCTGACCATTAGGGAGATGACCAGATAGCACAGGATTTGAGGAGGTCAGGAACAGACAGAAGGGGAGAGGCTTGGGAGTAAAGCTTGGGTGCTGCAGCATCAGCCTCACCTGGAGCTCCTTCCCTGGAGGGAGGGAAGGAAGGGAGAATTCAGGGGGGTCTTTCTGGAGGAGAGTATGGTGGAAGTTGAAAGTTGAGCTTGGGGATGAATTGGAATCTGAATGAGAAGCCGACAGAGAAGGATGGGGGTAAGAACGTGGACAGGAAGGTGATTCAATTGAAAAAACTTGTAGAGCACCTAATGTGCATCTAGCTCTGTGGGTGTTGAGCCAACAAGTGACAAGAGACAGGCTCAGGTCTTTTTTTTTTTTTTTTTTTTGTAGAGACAGAATCTCACTTTATCGCCCTCAGTAGAGTGCTGTGGTGTCACACAGCTCATAGCAACCTCCAAGTCCTGGGCCTAGGCGATTCTTTTGCCCCAGCCTCCTGAGTAGCTGGGACTACGGGTGCCTGCCAGAATGCCCAGCTGGGGGTTGCAGTTTGGCCCAGGCTGGGTTTGAACCTGCCACCCTTGGTATATGGGGCCGGTGCCCTACCCATTGAGCCACAGGAGACAGTCTCAAGCTATCGCCCTGGGTATAATGCTGTGGCATCACAGTTCACAGCAACCTCAGACTCTTGGGCTTAAGCAATTCTCTTGCCTCAGCCTCCTAAGTAGCTGGGACTACAGGGGCCTGTCTTAATGCCTGGCTATTTTGTTGTTGTTGTTGTTGTTGTTGTCATTGTTGTTTGGCAGGCCCTGGCTGGATTTGAACAGGCCAGCTCTGATGTATGTGGCTAGCACCCTAGCCACTGACCTACAGGCACCGAGCCCAGGCTCAGGTCTTGCCCTCGTGAGTATCACAACCTAGTGACCCTCCCTCTCTCAATGACTTTGGGTGATCAGGATGTATTTGGGGGACCCAGGGAGTTAAAGCAGCCCAGAGGGGGATGCATGACCCAGCCTGGGAAGTCAGGGAAGGCTTCCTGGAGGAGTGGATGTCAGAGCTGAAACCAAATAGGGAAAAGAAAGAGCACCGAGAAAGAGCTGGAGAAGCAGGGCAAGGCTGAGTTGGGGGAGCAAGGCCATTCTGATACCCAACTCCAGCTCTCCTTCCATTTCCCCTCCCCAGGATGCTTGGAGGCCCAGCTAGGGCCTGAGCTCGGCCCCATGCGGCTCACTCGCTGCCAGGCTGCTCTGGCAGCCGCCATCACACTCAATCTCCTGGTCTTCTTCTATGTCTCGTGGCTGCAGCACCAGCCTAGGAACTCCCGGGCCCGAGGCCCTCGTCGTGCATCTGCTTCTGGGCCTCGTGTAACCGTCGTAGTGCGGGAGTTTGAAGCATTTGACAACGCAGTGCCAGAACTGGTGGACTCCTTCCTACAGCAGGACCCCACCCAGCCCGTGGTGGTAGTGGCCGACACGCTCCCCTACCCGCCTCTGGCCCTGCCTCGCATTCCCAATGTTCGCCTGGCGCTTCTCCAGCCTGCCCTGGACCGGCCTGCTGCAGCATCTCGACCAGAGACCTACGTGGCCACCGAGTTCGTGGCCTTGGTGCCTGATGGGGCTCGAGCTGACGCACTGGGCCAGCTAGAGCGCATGGCAGAGGTGCTCCGAGCGGGAAGTGCACGTCTGGTGGCTGCTCCCGTGGCCACAGCCAACCCTGCCCGGTGCCTGGCCCTGAACATTAGCCTTCGAGAATGGACCGCCCGCTATGGTCAAGCACCCACTGCTCCCCGCTGTGATGCCCTGGACGGGGATGCTGTGGTGCTCCTTCGCTCACGTGACCTCTTCAACCTGTCAGCACCACTGGCCCGGCCTGTGAGCACTAGCCTTTTCCTGCAGACTGCCCTTCGTGGCTGGGTGGTGCAGCTGCTGGACTTGCCCTTTGCTGCGGCAAGTCAGCCCCCGCTGGCCACAGCCCATGCGCGCTGGAAGGCGGAACGGGAGGGGCGCACTCGGCGGGCAGCACTGCTACACTCGCTGGGCATCCGCCTGGTGAGCTGGGAGGGCGGGCGACTTGAGTGGTTCGGCTGCACCAAGGAGACCACGAGGTGCTTTGGCACAGTGGTGGGTGACACACCGGCCTATCTGTACGAAGAGCGCTGGACACCCCCCTGCTGCCTGCGTGCACTGCGGGAGACTGCGCGATACGTGGTGGGGGTGCTGGAGGCCGCAGGTGTGCGCTACTGGCTGGAGGGCGGTTCGCTGCTGGGGGCGGCCCGCCATGGGGATATCATCCCATGGGACTACGATGTTGACCTGGGCATCTACTTGGAGGACGTGGGTAACTGCGAGCAACTCCGGGGAGCTGAGGCCGGTTCTGTGGTGGATGAGCGGGGCTTCGTGTGGGAGAAGGCCGTGGAGGGTGACTTTTTCCGCGTGCAGTACAGTGAGAGCAACCACCTACACGTGGACCTGTGGCCTTTCTACCCCCGCAATGGAGTCATGACCAAGGACACATGGCTAGACCACCGGCAGGATGTCGAGTTCCCTGAGCACTTCTTGCAGCCTCTGGTGCCTCTGCCCTTTGCTGGCTTCATGGCACAAGCACCTAATAACTACCGCCGTTTCCTGGAGCTCAAGTTCGGCCCTGGGGTCATAGAGAACCCGGAGTATCCCAACCCAGCACTCCTGAGTTTGACAGGCAGCGGCTGAAACCCTATTCCCCTCACCTGGAGTCCAGGGAACATTCCGTTGTTTGGGGGCAGTCTATCTGGATGTGGAGAAGCTTAGTGTGGACGTGAGGAGTATGTGGTGGAGAGGGAGAGGGGGAAACTGACCAAGAAAGAAACTAGAGGGAAAGCAGGATGGAAGCCTGGCTTTGGCAGGAGAGAACCCAGCCAAAGATGGGAAGGAAGCTTTATCCAGAGATTCTCAAATGTTCCTGTTCATCGGGAACCATGGATGTGTGTGAGAGCATCAGGAGCATCCTGATCATCAAAGGAGCCACTAGCATTTGATGGATGGAGCCAGAGATGCCAAGCCTCCTGCAAGGCCCCTCTTTAGTCCTAGACCTCAAAGAAGGGAGCCCTGCCCAAGACTCCAAGAGCCCTGTGCTGGGAAGCTAAGTTGGAGTTTTTGCGAAAAAAGAGTGTAAGCTCTGGGGCCAGACTGGTGAGATTCATATCCTGGCTCTACTTAGCCCTTACTAGTTAGGTGGGCCTGGGGCGGTGTCACAGTTTCTCTGTGCTTCTGTTACTCCCAGCATTCCGTGAGTGCCCTGGGTGTCACAGAATAAGCTTCCAGGGCCTGTGGCTGCTGAGGTGGCTTCCACCACTAGAGGGCATGTCTGACCCACTCCTGATAAAGCACAGCCTCAACTGTTCTTGAGCCTTTTGGACTTTTCTCTTAAGTCAATCCCTGTGTGAAGTTGGGACAGAGATGACTATCTCTTCTTCTTCCAGAAGACCTCTTTCCCTCCTGAGAGAGCTCTGTGAGGTGCATGCTGCTATTAACTCACCTTGCAGAGGAGAAAACAGGCTCCTCTTCCAGGTGCAGCTATGGTCACTAATGGGGCTGGCGATCCCAGCTCCACTCATTGTTATTACCTCATTATTTCAGTTCTCTGCGCCTGTGTCTTAACTCGCACAGCAGGGTAAACGATAATAACTATAGTTCATATTCCCTTAGCACTTACCTGGGTACCAGGCATCATTCTCAGTATTTCACATGTGTTAACTGATTTGTCCCTCACCTCAACTCTCTGAAGTGACAGCTGCTATCATTTCCATTTTACAGATGAAGAAACTGAGGCCAGATGATGAAGTCACTTGCCTAAGGTCAGACAGCTTAGGAAGTAGCAGATTGGGGACTTGAACCCAGGTGGTCAGGCTCTAAGCCCACACTGGACTTACCTACCATCGCCCTCTCTACTGATGGTTCCCAGGACGGGAATGGGGAGGCCATGCTACTTAGCAGGCAGAAGCATTGGCAGCCTTTCTTTTTTGACTATGCTCTTAAGAGTAAATAGTATTTGGAGATGTACTCCCAATATGTATATATTTATTTATTTAATATAAATGATGTATTGGAACTACTGTCAGTATGTATGTTGGTAATAACGCTTAAATTATTCCATTTAAAAATAGTAAATACGGCTCGGCGCCTGTGGCTCCAGTGGCTAAGGCCCCAGCCACATACACCTAAGGTGGCGGGTTCAAATCCAGCCCGGGCCCGCCAAACAACAATGATGGCTGCAACCAAAAAATAGCCAGGCGTTGTGGCAGGCGCCTGTGGTCCCAGCTACTTGGGAGGCTGAGGCAGTAGACTCACTTGAGCCCAGTAGTTGGAGATTGCTGTGAGCTGTGATGCCACAGCACTCTGCCCAGGGGGACAGCTTAAGGCTCTGTCTCAGAAAAAATAAAATAAAATAAAATAAAATAGTAAATACAAATAGATATTTTTATGCTTTCTCACCTCATCACAATAACATTTTCCACACACATCCCTGGATGTGTGAGTCGGGTTTTGAAGACTACAGGTTAAAAACACCTATAGGCTCTGAAGCGAGAGAATACTGGGTTCAAACCTTAGTACTGCCAGGTCCTCCCAGTCTGAACTCGAGGCCTGTGAACCTCTGCTTTGCATCTGGGACACCGGGGCAATAAGATTGGTTATCCCACAGGAGCGCATTCACAGTAAAGGGATTGAGAGACAGGCCGGGTTTGAATCCTGGCTTGGCCTCTTTCTTTATGATCTTAGGCAAGTTGCTCTGAACCGATAAGGCAGGAGATTGGTACTACTGCAGACTGTACACTTCTTAGAGGAGGAGGCTTCATAGATTAGCAAGAGAAACTAATCTCCTAAGGCTCAGATACTCAAGGGCTGATTTCTTATAACCCAGCCTCTGCTTTTAACCACCCAACCTGCAAAGGGTTGACAAAGAGACTGTTGGGTTCCTGGAGAGCCTTCTGGGAAGTATATGGGGATGGTTTGGGTTATCACCATGACCAGACAGTGCTCTTGGCACATAAGAGGCGTGGCCCAGGACTGTTATTCTTAATGTGACAGCACCGCTACATGGTAAAGTGAGTCCTGTCTCATACTGTTCCCAAATGTCCTATTAGACAGTCATGCAGGAAAGATGTTATTCAAAACATTTTGTAACTGGTATGATAATATAAATTAATATGTATATGCATCAAATTATAAAATACTACTTTTATTCTTTAATCCAAGTGATTTTACCTATATATACATTTCTTTAGATTGTTCACCAAGAATGTATATTTAAACTCAATTCATTCTCAAATTGTTGTAATGATTTTGTTTTATTTAGAAATCATTTTGGCGTTTTAGACAGGGTCTTACTCTATCACCCCAACTAGAGTGGCATGATCACAGTTCACTGTAGCCTCAAACTCCTGGGCTCAAGCAATCATCCTGCCTCAGCTTCCTGAGTAGCTGGGACTGCAGGCGTGAGCCACCATGCCTGCCTAACTATTTTTTGTAGAGACAAAGTCTCATGTTGTCCAGACTGGTCTTCAACTTCAGGCCTCAAAGGATCTTCCAGCCTTGGCTTCTCAAAATTCTGGGATTACAGGCAAGATCTACCACACCCAGCCATTACTTAAAAATTATAGGTGTGATTTCTTTCCTTTTTTATTATTTCAAAATTTCAAGGGGGTACAAATGTTTGTTACCTGGATACACTGTATAATGCTAAAGTAGGGGCATTCTGCATGTTGGCCACCAGGTCAGTGTTCATTGTATTCACTATGTAAATTTTTTTTTTTTTGAGACAGAGTCTTACTCTGTCACCCTAGGTAAAGTACCATGGCACCATATCTCACAGCAACCTCAAATTCTCAGGCTCTAAGCAATCTTCTTCTTCTTTTTTTTTTTAAAGAACAATTTTTATTTTGTTTTTTTTTTTTTTTAATTTTTTTGCAGTTTTTGGCTGGGGCTGGGTTAGAACCTGCCACCTCCAGCATATGGGGCTGGCGCCCTACTCCTTGAGCCACAGTGCCGCCCTTCTAAGCAATCTTCTTGCCTTAGCCTCTGAAGTAGCTGGGACAATAGGTACCTACCACAACACCCAGCTGGTTTTTCTTTTCTTTGAGACAGAGTCTCACTTTATCACTCCAGGTAGAGTGCCATAGCATCATAGCCCACAGCAACCTCAGACTCGTGGGCTCAAGTAATTCTCTTGCCTCAGCCTCCCAAATAGCTGGGACTATAGGTGCCCACCACAGTGCCTGGCTATTTTTAGAGATGGGGTCTCGCTCTTGCTCAGGCTGGTCTCAAACCTGTGAGCTCAGGCAATCCACCCACCTTGGCCTCCCAGAATGCTAGAATTATAGACATGAGCCACCGCACCCAACCTAGTTTTTCTATTTTTAATAGAGATTGGGTGTCTCTCTTGTTCAGTCTGGTCTTGAACTCCTGAGCTCAGGCGACCCACCTGCCTCAGACTTCCAAAGTGCTAGGATTACTGGCCCACTTTATAATCCTGTGAGCCACAGAACCTAACCCAATATGTAAATTTTTATCCTTCACCTCCCTCCCACCCTCTGCCCAATCTGATTTCTTGATTGATTATTACTATTTATAGTAATAATCACCCTGTCTTGGCTATGTTATGATACATGGACTCATATCAAATGGTTCCAGCAACTTCCTGCTAAATTGAGAATCATTAGGTGACTTGAAGTCTCAATAAATTAAGAATTTCTCTTAAGGCTCAACACCTGTAGCTCAGCACCTAGGGCACGAGCCACATAAACTGGAGCTGGCAGATTTGAACCCAGCCCAGGCCTGCCAAACAACAATGACAGCTACAACTAAAAAATAGCCAGGCATTGTGACGGGTGCCTGTAGTCCCAGCTACTTGGGAGGCTGAGACAAGAGAATTGTTTAAGCCTAAAAGTTTGAGGTTGCTGAGAACTGTGATGCCATAGCACTCTACTGAGGGCAATATAGTGAAACTATGTCTCAAAATAAAAAAAAGAATTTCTCTTAGGATTAACCATAACATTGGGGCTTTTTCTCCTCATGATTCTGAGTTAATTCTGAACATGGTTCTGAGCAAATACATTAAAACCTTTTTGGGTGGCGCTGGCCCCATATGCTAGAGATGGAGGGTTCAAACCCAGCCCTAGCCAAAAACTGCAAAAAAGAAAAAATTTCTAAAATTTCTAGCCCTTCTAATACTGTCTGATGGTTTTATATATTTAATTTCATTATTATTGGCTAAGGTATATGATAGGAAACTCGTCACAATAGTTAATTTGAAGTAACAAGTTCAAATTATGTATATTGAATTTTCATTACTTGGAAGAATCACAAGTTAAAACAAGAGAATTTTCCTGCTTTCGCACACTTGATCTTTTTTTTTTTTTTGAGACCAAGCCTCAAGCTATCCCCCTGGGTAGAGTGCTGTTACATCATAGCTCACAGCAACCTCCAACTCCTGGGCTCAAGCGAGTCTCCTGCCTCTGCCTCCCAAGTAGCTGGGACCACAGGCACCTACCACAACGCCCGGCTATTTTTTGATTGCAGCTGTCATTGTTGTTGTTTTGGCGGGCTCAGGCTGGATTCAAACCTGCCACCTTAGGTGTATGTGGCTGGCACCTCAGCCACTTGAGCCACAGGCGCCAAGCCTCTCACACTTGATCTTAGTCAAAAGGCTGAGAAGTGATTTTTTTCCTGCTTTCTCAATTATTCTTATACTATTAACCAGGTAGAATAGAAATACATCAATATTTTAACCAGTAATTTAGCCTTTTTTGGCGGTAAAAGCCCTGCTAATAAACATCAGAGCCCAGAATTTAACACTGTCCTGTAAACACTAAGTCCTATTTTATTTTATTTTATTTTTGAGACAGAGTCTCACTTTGTTGCCCCCAGTGGAGTACCATGGCCTCACAGCTCACAGTAACCTCAAACTCTTGAGCTCAAGTGATTCTCTTCTCTCAGCCTCTCAAGTAGCTAGGACTACAGGCACCAACCACAATACCCAGCTTTTTTTTTTTTCTTTTTAGAGACAGGGCCTTGCACTTCCTCAGGCTGGTCTCGAAGCTGTGAGGTCAGGCGTTCCACCTTCTTTGGCTTTCCAGAGTGCTGGCATTACAAGTGTGAACCACCGCACCCAGCCACCAAGTTCTTTTTATTTGTAATAGCCTCTGAGTCTTCCAGGAAGTGTATCTACCATGTAAAATGATGGAAGCTTGTATTGTTAGAAACTTGGCTAAGGATTGTCCACCAGGTCAGAAATCACACTTGTGGCTCTTGGTAGTTAGACACTAATACCACCCATCTCCAGAACATAGGGAGTCACCTACATTACAGGAGTGAGCAGTCAGGCTGAGTCCTCCTGTTCTAGAGAGGTGGCCCCACACATTTGCATATTGAAATACATTCACAAACTACTATCCTCTTATTCCCCTTTTTCATTACAATCAGGGCAATAAAGGATTGTTTTTAAAATCATGTGCAATCTGGGTGGCGCCTGTGTCTCAGTGAGTAGGCCACCGGCCCCATATACCAAGGGTGGCGGATTCAAGCCTGGCCCCGGCCAAACTGCAACAGAAAAATAGCCGGGCATTGTAGTGGGTGCCTGTAGTCCTAACTACCCAGGAGGCTGAGGCAAGAGAATCACCTAAGCCCAGGAGCTGGAGGTTGCTGTGAGCTGTGACACTATGGCACTCTACTGAGGGTGACAAAGTGAGACCCTGTCTCTAAATAAATAAAATCATGTGCAATCAAGTTATATTATCTGTGAACTTCATGAAACCAGAAAAAAGCTTTCTTACAGCTAACATTCAAGCCAGCACATGCCCTGATATGGCCGTGGTGGTGATTAAAACATACAATACATTGTATTACGAATTATTTACCCTTTGGCAAGTGGTTGTTCCATGAGCCCCTAGACTATCAATATACTCCTGGCTCACCGTGGGGAGCCCCCTTGACCCAGCAGCCAAGAAGTTAACACTGGGCACCGTGGGGAAGAAGGGAGAGCCCTATCCCGGAAGTTGGTGGAAGGCCAATGGCCTTGCCAAATGGTAAATATTTTGTGTATCACCAGCCCCTGGATGTTACAAACTATTTGCTATGAAAAGCAAGTGATATGTTAAGACCTGTCTGCAAAT